TCCCTCATATTTTACCTCCATTTATCATTAGAACATTGTCACGACCAGCTCAATAAGGTCGAAAATCCATTAAACTCATATCTTTATAAGAATGTTGAACTCGTACCTAACTTGAAGACCCAGCAAGGTTAGTGAGCTGCGGCTGTGTATCGCAGTACTGCAACCAGGAAATTCTTTCCTTCTCAAGCCACAACAATGCGGAAGATTGCTGGGATTATAAACAAATATGATGTGCAGATATAAAAAAGTAATGGTACAAATTCGGTGAATTTTGAGAAAGAGGGCTATTTCAGGATGGAAATCTTAAGTTGTCCGAATGCATACATTGAGGTAAACTGTTGGTGTCGATTTATGACGACAGAAGGATGTCTAGTACTGGTCATCAAAGCCGGAGAATTTAGATTTATTTTTTTAAAGAATGTCTTGTTAATGTATGACTACCCGTAAGAGAAAGGAAAAGGACCAGAAAAGGAAAAGGAAGCAGTTGCACTAGAAAAAACTGAGTCAGCTCGACCTTGTTCAGAATTTTAGTTCTTCCAGCTCTTTTTGGAGGTAAAGTTGACTGGAATTTAAACCTAGCAGTAGTGAAGTATTCTTAATTATGGAAATAGTTTATAAAATCTCCATGACAAGAAGCTTGTTAGTGATGTTATGGCGTAGTACATGACCCATGTCAAATGTTTATCGGCAGATTATTGACATTTTCACCACTTCATTTTCATGGCAAGTCTCCAAAGTACAGCTTATAATACCAAGCAGTTTTTCCTTGTACTTATCTGTAACCCTGTATTAACTGGAATGCGTCGCAGTACTGATCCAGGAGAAGCGCGTAGTGCAGCAGTTAAAGAAGTGGCATGCGGTAGACACAAAGGAGCATGGTCTCGTGCCCTTGCTAAATTAAGTATTCTGTCCATTCATAATCGATAAAGTGATTCCAGAATATTGTGAGAGGATAGACCCATTAACTCGACTCAGCGAAAAACTTACAACTTCTACTTTGTCCCTTTACTCTCGTCGACGATGCTTCACGTGTCAAAAGTGCTTTACCGTTATGCTTCACTGACGAAGAGAAGAATAAATGCACTAAGGTGCCAGTTATTTTAGGTCTCTTAAATTGAGTATTCGTCACAGTTTCGAAAACGCACTGAACTCAAAATCCTGTTTGAATAAAAGATGAATTTCTGCCATTTCACCAAAGTAGAACAGAACAATAATTTCATCAATCAAAATTGAAATTCTCGTTTGTTGAACTTTTTTCTTATATACTTCTATAAGAGCTTAAGCTTTTCGTTTGGATAAATATTTGTGCTATTATAGTTGATCAGAAGACGGTCGCATGTCGTATTGTGACGACAACTTTGCGGAAGTTCACATGCGGCAGCCTGACCTTGAAGAAGTACGGGGATTGGACCCACTTTCCGCATTTTATGTCGCTCTCCTCATTCTCCTCATCCTCATTCACGTCATCATCATCGTCTTATTCTTCGATGATCCCTGTGCGGTGCGTTTATTTTCGGATGTTCAACGCGACCTGTATTCGATTTGTTAGTCTACAACACTTAGTGAAACAATGTAAATAAGGAAAGGAACTCTCTTAATTAACTTATATGTATGTATGTATGTAAATATATAGATATCTGTATGCAAATTTGATGAGTGCATTATTCCATTGGCGTGCGAATAATTTTAGTTCACCTGAAGTAACCAGCTCATTTCATGAAATCCATTGTTGAGACGCCGCTATTTCTTTGTTTATACTCTTGCCACATGTTATAAGTAAGGAAAAATTTCAGATCTTTCATTTTTTTTCACAAATATTGGACATGTTACTAGATTTTATTGGAATGCGAATGATACTATTCGTTCTCAAAGTTCACTTTTTTATTTACTGCCTACTACAATTTTATGGCAGGGTATTATGCGAAATGCAACTACAGCGATGCTGAGGTATTCGCAAAATTTGGACCCCGAGCAAAATCGAACCACGATTTCCCTCTCTGGGGGCTCGCGTATTACCCATTTTGCCACAGAGGCTCTTGCTTTGGGTTTCACTCAGCTAGTTTTCTATCTACCAGTTCCATCAGCAATGACCCATCAACGGGGTTGATCTGGGAAGCCCATATCGGCATTGAACCCACGTAAGCTGAAGTTGTAGTCGAAAGTCAATTCGTTTCCACAACTTCAACAAATATAAAAGTTTGTTGTTGTTGTTTGGCTGCGGGGGCAGAAGGTTCACTCTGACGAATGTCTTTAGTGTGCGTAATAGATCATGAATAGAAATTAAACAATGGGCGCCTTTTCTCTATATTATATTGATTCATTTCATAACAAAATAAGTATCGTATAGCTAAGTATCTGTATTAACTTCACGAAATAAGGCATGTTACGATTTCTTTCATTCGATGAGTACCATTGCTTTTCATACATTTGTTGACGCTACGACATCGATATTTCGGTCGAACAACACGAAAAAAAGATCCATTTACTCGGGAACTAAGATCCTCCGTGAGCAAACCATACATAGTTCATCATCCTTCGACACATTTCAAGTCTTGAGATCTCATGAAAAATCTGTTCACCCTAGAGCACGTAACTCTGGTTATCTGGCAAACGGTTGCGTTTCATTGTCACGTGTAGTTGTGAGAGATTATGTTTAGATTCCTCATTATCCATTAAAAGAAAAATCACTTTTATTAACGTTTTGTTTTTGAATTACAGACGAATTTGTAGACATTTCAGAATGAAGACATTTCTCAAAAGTCTCATCTACGTAATTGTAATAATTCATGTACAAGCACATTCCATTCACAACGGCGGATCCTGTGGCAGTCACGCCATACCGTACCAGATTTCGGTCACCGACGAAGGTCTTAGTAAGTGGTGATATCATATTATACAATTTTTTATAGTTTAAACCTGAACTACTATGTAACTTTTTTTATTTAATACGACCAGTTTTAAAGTCTACTGTGCGGATCACAACACTTTCACATTGGATTCTTTTCCTGGTAGCAATCATCCACTGTGGTCTTCAACGTGGATATCATAGACTGCTGGTCTAGTCGACTCTCATTGGAGTTCTGAGATAGCCTAGCTAGAGCGTTCTCAATTGGATTGCAGAGAGTACATTTTCCCGGACAAGTCCGGTAGCAATTTCCCAACCTCGAAGGGATGAGGGGCTTGATGAGCTAGGAATGGAATCAAACCAGCACCGCATTCGTGATGACCGGCATCGCTACCACTGTGCTAACCGCTCTGTTATACAACATTTAATGCGAGCAAATTTAAAAAAGTTTTCAATGTAATGGTATAACATTAATGGACAATAATTTCGAAGTAAGACGTGATTATTCAGAATTATCGTGCGCATCAACGCTATGTGTGGTTAACGATACCAATGATGACATTTCATTGCGATATCACCGAAGACGCGAAGAACTTAACGTGGTGCATATTTCAGTGTTTATATTTAAACGAAAGCAATGGCTAGCTATTTAGTTTAATTTTGTACTCAACGATTTCTTCACTAATTTCTTCAGTTTGTAAATAATACCATGTGTATGAAGTGATGTGCATTACTCATAACGGCTAGCTGTAAGTTTCGATTGACTCGAATAAGTCTGTTAGCAACACATAATCTATAAGAGCCTGCGTTGACCAATAGCAGGCCGTATTTTAATCTTCATGGATTTTTTCTAATTAACAACTACAGATTCTTTGTACACTGCATCTGTAGATGGACACTTATATAATATTACTTAGACGGAAAAGAAATGGTTCTGAATTGACTTTGATGTCTTTCTTCAATCACCTCCTTACCTTGTTAATACCTAGATCAGGTATTTAACTTCTAAGTTTGCTGCCATGTTAATCCCGTTGTACATCCTGTGTCTCGATTTTCTTTTCTTCCGCACTCAGTCCTAATGTCGGACACAGATTTCTGGTGTTCGCTTAGATATTTTTTCAACCTACTCATGACGATAACCACTTTTTCAGATTTTTCACGGTGAATTATTTGGTAGAGAAGAAGAAAGAAAACTACGTACTAAACTGGTCGCTCAATGAGAAGATTAAGTTTCCCTCACACTGAAAATGCACAAAAATCCTGATTCATCGTTTGGATATTTGGATACATGAACGACCCGTCCTCACTGGTTGTGCGGGGCCCAGCATAATCTCCATTTTTCGGAGTTTTGCTGGTTTAACCACTGTATTTCCCTGAGGTCCCGAGGTCAGCCTAGCCAAAGTCTGTTCAAGTCGTCACCACCACTGGCTGTCGCAGCCCTTACGGATTAGAGGGAGATTTGCCACCACGACTGGTTTGATACCAGGACGGTGGTCGATCCTGGTATTGGTTTACTCTTAGCCAGGTTTCCTGATGGAAAAGCCGTACTGCTTCTAAGTTTGGGAGACTTTGTCGTGGGACGAATCCCTCCTCTCTACATCACAGCCCGTCGCCCAGGAACAACTTCCACCCACGGTGAGGCGGTAAACCATTGGGAGCAATTCATTTGACATTAAAACATAACTGGTTACTGAATAAGTACAATAATTTTGAGATTTCTGAGTGGCTTTTGAAAGATTTACCAAAGTTTCAGGAGTACGCGCTATAGTATACTTTTGGAATCCGGCAAATTGAAGTTGCAACCCATATTTCTAACCTCATTAATCATTTCTTCTTTATTTCTTTCAGCACTTGTTTGATCAGCGCAGTGTTTTTTTTTGCTAATACCTTTTAGTTCTTTTTTGAAGAAGATGTTGAATAATCAAAAAAAGCACATAACGCTTCCATGTGAATTCTATGAGGTTGGTCATCACGCGACACACTCAGTGGAGGCCTCATAGAAAGCGGCTCTGAGGAAGGCAAAATCCGCCGAAACGTCAGCTTGTACGCAAATAAAGAATAAAAGTAACACCTCGCGTTTGCTCAACAAGAATACGAAGAGTCACTTGATCAAAAAGGTAAAAAATGCAGCAAAAACTCCTAAAAAGTGGAAAAAATGCGCCTTCAGTGACTGTAACCGCAACCATTCTGTTCTGGTATCTTTCAACCTTCATAGAATCCGTTGATTTTATTGTTATGTAAAAACGAAGTACGTTTTAATTCTATTCTTATGAACGTAGCCTTTGTTTTTTCGAAACGGACAGGAGCGAGTTCTCTTTTTTAAGAAATGTGAAAGCTATCAAGATACAGTCTGCACTGGCGATTTGGAATGGACCGGTGGTTTGATGGAAGTTAACAATGGAACTCATACGACGTTCGTTTACTTTTCATTACACTAGTGAAAAATTCAAATGAATGGTGATTTTATTTGTGTACAGGTTGAAAACTGAATGCTGCACATATCCGGGAATGTATCGATCCTACTTAATCAGAACGGTACTCCTAGGAAAAGATGATAGGTTAGCGATGATGTTCTCTATAAACTCAGTTGCTCTTGTAGCCTGTTTATATTTATTTCTATTTAGTTCCTCTTTTTTTTATTCCAGATATGAAGGAGGAATTATTGAAACGTCAGATCACTCAACATCATTCGACCTCATTAAAGCAGTACGCAAAGCGATAAATAGTGACAATAGGTTAGATATTTCTACAGGTAACTCGTTTACGTTTACCAGTGATAACTTTCCTGTAAAGCACCTTGTTTGAAAGATGTGCTAATAGCTTCCACTACTCCTCTCCAAGTGATGTCCTGCATCGTGGAAGCAAAATTCTTCAACGCTCATTCAGTACTTTCGCAGAAATTATACTCAGTGCAGATACGGTATAGGAGAAATAATTTTAGAATGCAGTATGTCGTCACCATTCATCGAATCCCGTGCACTACCGATCCTACACACAGCAAACGTTAGTGAATTATTATCAAAGAGTAAAAAAATTACAGCATGAAAAACAGATATCGAATCAGAAGATGAGATCTTTGTTTAGATCATGTCCTGAAGATACTCTCGCGAAATAAACGAAGACTGAATGTAAACAAAAAGAAAGGTGATAACTACGACTACGTGGTTGAAGTCGTCAGGTAAGATACTGCGATCGGATAGCTTAACAATTTCCTTAACTTTCAATTGCCGAAAAGTTTCCTCCAGTACCGATACATTTTCTGATGCCAGAAATTTCGTTGGGATTCTCATTCACTCCTTGAATAATTTTCAATCTAGAAATCGAGGAGTTCATGACGACTACGTGCATCCGGCAATACGAAAACGTCGTCCGGTCTACGGAAGACGTAAAATAACGCGTGTGTATGGTGATAACAACGATGATTACGACTACGACTTTTATATTCCTCGATTAATGAGGTGACTGCAACCTTAAGATGCCACTTATGTGTTTTTTCCAGGACAAATTCTTAATGAAATACTTGTTTAAGTATTTCATATCTCTTCTTGTTTTTAAATTAGTTGTAGTACTTGTTTCGAGAACACTATTCAATACCAGTTTCTCACAAAGAGAAGACAAAGGATGGAATACCTTTGAACGGTCGTGTATATCTGTCTAGGAAGGCATTGTGTCTATCAATCTAACTACAAAGCTAAGCAGTAGAGACCAAGTGTTTTGAAAAATTCAAAAGTGTGCCGAAGTCATGGTGAAAAGATGGAAAAATCACCCAAATCCATACTCACTTGTAGACTCTGAAATTCTTACCGCCTTAATGTACACCTCGAAAAATCAAGACAACAGAATCGACTATTAACGTGTTGTCGAGATTCTGATATTTGGAAAGAGCTTCGCAAGGACTGTTTCGTATCGGGCAACTGGAAATATGAATCCGAGCTCAGGTAATTGATTTGGTGAGTCTAAACGACAATCGCTGACCCAGAGCCGTTACTAACTGAGTTCGAGATGTCAAGTCCGTAGGAGAAACGTAACCGATCCGATGGTTGAAATTGTTTACGAAAACTCCAGAATAAAAACAGGATGCTTTTTGCCTTGAACGATATAGGTTTATATTTACTTGCAGGGAATTGATCATGTAGTGCAGTGCGTTGGTCAGATCTAGAGGGAAACGCGACCTACATTCGACTTACTAGGTATCGGGTTGCTGACTGAATGCATGCTTAGCCTATGCAATGACATACAAAAGCCAGCTGATAAATGAAGTCGGTGTTTTCATCCCCCCTGACAAATGTGGGGCAGTTGTTCTGGAGAATGGTTGGCTTCACTAGGCCGTTTCGCAGAACTAAACCAACGACTACGTTAGTGTCGGAGGGCACGACGAACTAATGATTAGATGCGCCCCCGTATAGTATAGTATAGTATAGTATAGTATATTATAGCATAGTATAGTGTAGTGTAGTATAGTATATTATAGCACAGTATATACATATAAGCATATATATATGTATATATATATGAACTCTTGTTGTCTAATATTTACACGTCTAACAATACACGTCCGATTCACTTAGGACACATTTGTGGAGAAACCATCGTCTATGGCCATTCGCTCAAATGCGCTCAGATGGTGGCGTCTATAATCCTCGTGAAGTCATTAAGATCAAGGTATTTGCAATTGAATTGCAATTGGAACATTTTTGAATCGGTTCTTAATAAACAATGATGACTGTTACTTGAAGGGTGATCCGCATGTGCTGGTTGAGAGCGGTTCCAATAATATGGATTACACTGCGCTTCCCGATTCACGTATAGAGGTTTTTTGGTCTTCTTTCTCTATTATTTAACTTGAGAGTAAGTGTGATCTATTTATGCTGAAAAAGGCTATTTTTATTTTATTACCGTGTCTTAAGAGCTTAGAAACATGGGCTCAAGTTTGCTACACTAGGACACCGAGAAACCCTTCGTAATTTTTGGTGCAATATTTCACTGCTATTATTTAACACTTTCGTTGAAATGAAGCCCTCTCTAATTCGAGAACACGATGTCGTCTTTTTCATCAGAAATATTCCGCGGTGATCTCTATTTTATGTCTAGGACTTTTAAACCACAGTAATGATCATTGCAGTCCCCTGTTTCCTTTCCTTTAACAGTGATAATTCAGATTTACCAAAAGAAAACTAGCATTTGTTCAATTGCTGTTGACTTGGACCAATGTCAGAGCATGTTGCAACACTTGTTACGAAGTGCTGGTAAATTATGCTAACAAACTGAACTATATAATAAGCAGGAACACAGCTAAACTAGTGAAGAAACGGTGTTTTAACAATTAGATAAGAAAAAGACAAGCAAACTTTTAATTTTTCCACAGGTAACGCCGATTTCAACGAATATCGTACACGGACCACTTCCACAACCCCCGACACCACCTAGAGATCATCAAGTCTTAACACAGTATATTCCTGCTTATAAGGAAACAAGCTACTATCTACCAAGTAAGAAATTGCAGTCATAATGTATTAACGCACACTTGCATTGATTTCAATGCGTTTCTATTTGGTTGTCTATTTGCTTTGCAAAGGTATTAAATGGATAACTGCCCTATCGTTGATGTTGCAACATCATTCTAAAAAAAACTATATCCTTTTTCTCACAACCCACAGGAAACGCTTACTGGAAAAATCTGTTCGCGAACGGAGAGTATGCTATAGGGCGTGGCCAATATTCTCGAAGTGTTGCCACCGATATGAATTGATTGCAATGCTTTCAACGCGTGGAAGAACACTTCTCATCGCTCCACAATGCAACTTATGATCATCACTCGCAGTTGGGATTATGGTAGTGCTTATCGAAAATGTGGAATACATGTATTAACGAGGATTTAAACTAATGCACTTAGGGTATGAAAGTCGCATTGTTTCAAAGTCAAAGCCTAATGAGTTAGAAATTTATATAAGGCAACTTCAGGAACTGAAGATGTAACCATAGAATGCCCCTGTAGAAAAATGGTTTTTGAATGCAAATTCACAGAGGTTCGTAGCGTTTCGCGTACGACGTATGGGACTAAAAAGGTTGCAGCAGAACTCTGTATTAATAAGCAACCATGACGTTAAAAATAAAAATGTTAGAGATTTCGGCGTTGATCAACCTTGAGGGATGCGCCATGCATTCGACATCGACTTCATTAAGGTTCGTTGGAGGTGATTGAACGCATACCTGGCCTTTACAATGACTCGCGGTGGCCTACCTGTGTATCGTGTCAGTGCTGCTATCCTCCCAGACAAGTCTGGTACCAATTTTCCAGCCCTGGAGGGATGAAAGGCTTGGTCGGCCATGGGCGCGGGGATCGATTACACGTGTTGCAGTGGCGCCTCCAACCACTGCGCCACACGCGTCGATAACTATGAGATATGTATTCTTTCTTGATAAGCTTGCACGAGGTTGATAAATATATTTATTTTCGGCTAACGTTTCGACGTCTTCGTCTTCCTCAGAGCCGGTGATCCGAGTCGATGGTCCACGCTTGTTGTTCGCCTCGACGTTGCGTCTTCGCCTTCCTGTCGAGCCAGATCTTCCTCAGCGAGCCATCTTCTCGAATGAGGCATCCTCACTCAGTGATGCCCTTTTATACACGATGCCGATGGTAGATATATAATGACAATGTCCGGTGGTAATAACTTGTATTTCTTCCGGACATACATCATTGCGCACATCGTGCAGAGGTCGGTGTGTTATCAGCTAGCATACATATTGATTTGTCACACCGAGGTTTAGGGAAGGTCGGTTTCGAAATATTACTACGCTTTGTGCTAGCTGATAACACACCGACCTCTGCACGATGTGCGCAATGATGCATGTCCGGAAGAAATACAAGTTATTACCACCGGACATTGTCATTATATATCTACCATCAGCATCGTGTATAAAAGGGCATCACTGAGTGAGGATGCCTCATTCGAGAAGATGGCTCGCTGAGGAAGATCTGGCTCGACAGGAAGGCGAAGACGCAACGTCGAGGCGAACAACAAGCATGGACCATCGACTCGGATCACCGGCTCTGAGGAAGACGAAGACGTCGAAACGTTAGCCGAAAATAAATACATTTATCAACCTCGTGCAAGCTTATCAAGAAAGAATACATATTGATTTGTCACACCGAGGTTTAGGGAAGGTCGGTTTCGAAATATAACTATGAGATAGTTACAAAATATTGTAGCGAGTAACATTCCAGCGCCTCTGGTTTTCTCAGAACAGCAGTGATGAGAATCAGATCTCCACAGTTGTAGTTCCCTGCTCTGTAGGTCCACCTAGGCTCGACGAATCCAGTCGAGTAGAGCACTGGTCGATTTTAGTAACCTTACTCGACAATTACCTTATATGTATGACGGTTACTGATTGGTTGATTAATGGTAACTACTTGTTAACATAAAAGTGATTTTAGCAGACTGGTTGAAATCTGGATGAACTCCAAAATACTTTCCTAACCAGATTTGCTCCAAATAAGGTTATAATAACTTTTTTTACTCTTATCAGATGGAGTCGTCTAATGAAGCATCTTTCCAAATGATCATAGCAAAGGACTAATCTTGCGAGAAAATTCTATTTAAAAGAGAAAAAAACAACGTTTCTACATGTCTGCACTAATCAATCATAGGTAGTTCATTGCTAGCAAACGCTATTCTACAAGCGAGAAAGACATAAGAAGTTCAACTGATTAAGTACCGCAAATATCTTGTGAAATATTAACCTTTCAATGTTCACTTTATTTTTATTTTTATTTGTTTTTATTGTTTTTATTTTTATTTGTTGCCTTTTACAAGTTTTCACGGCAGGGTATTATTTGTGAAGCAACCACAATGATGCTGAGATATTTGACAATGCCGGACCGCAGGTGTGGAGAACGAACACTCTATTGTCCTTTCCGGGGGTAACGCGTTCACCACCACACCACGCAGGTTCTTCGTTTCGCCTGTTTCTCAGCTAGTTCTATCGATTAACCTTTCAGTTCGATTACGCACCTATATCACAGTTCATACTACTCGAGTTAAAATTAAAAGTCTGCACAATTTTTCATAGAGATCTAAATTTCCTAGTCCGCTTTTTTTATTTTTCACTAGTACGTTTTCACCTGGTTGAGTAACTGCACTTCAGACTTGCCCCTAAAATCGTCTTTGTTTCGCGGCAAACCAGCGCTTTAATACTTAACTTGATATACTCGCAGTAGAAACTTTGCCTGAAGTATTTGCAAAACTCCGGATCGCAAGTGTCTACGGCAGGGATCGAAGCTATCTGTTTTCCTTGAGAAGGGCTAATAGCGAAGTTCCATTTACACCGCAGACACCTGTGGTCCGGAGTTTTGCAGATATTTCAACATCATAGTAATCGTATTTTACATAATACACTGAGCTAAAAAGAATATGGAGTAAATAAGAAGTAGTTACGTCCTGCGTAAAGTATTTATAATGCTTTTGAAACACCATTTTCATGTGAAGCTTCAAAATATGAAGCTTTCCTTATTTCTGGTGAATAGTCCATTCTCACAGAAAATCTTGCATATCTGATAACAATTTTTATTTGACTACCAACATTCTGGTGGATTAAGATTTTCCTTTCTTGAATCCTCATGGTAGCCATGCTAGGGCTTTCCTAAACGGTCACACAGTGTGGTTGCCGACCCTGATCGGAGGAAGTCTTGCTACGTTCCAAGAAAGTTATTAGTTGAACGGTGGTGATTTCTGGAATAGCTTTGCTTTTAGCTGGAAACACAGGGAGTTAGCAAAGTGGAAAAAGGGATTATGATTTCTAAAAAGGCACATATTTTGAGCAAACCTGCATTTTATTGACAAGGTTGTGAGGTTGCTAACGCCTACTGTTTCAACAAGTGCGTTTTATAGTGAAAAAAAACATGCATGATCGAATGCTTGAAGTCGTTTATGAACAATTTGCCACTTGTTATGCCAGAAACATGAAAGTTGATACATTTTGAAGCAGGTTGATAAGTACTTGTTGTTTTTGTTTTAAGGCAACCTTGTCTATCCTAATCACTTACAGAAACATCTGATATAAATCTGAACATCGATCACGACGTATAAGAAACTTTTCCTTTTGCATTCTATTCGTATTATTCACGAAAGTTGTTGAATGCTGGTCAGGTTGACTTTCTTAGGAATTCGGAGTTAGCCGTGCCAGCGGGTTTCCGTGCCTTCATCACAGAAAGGCACAAGTTATTGTGGAATGGAGTGAGCGAGGTTACCACGGACAAGTCCTGCATCACTTTCTCTGCCCTCGTGGGATGGGATAGAATCATGATTGGCCAGAAGCGAAGTTAAATCAGAGCCTTGCGGCAAAGCTGCATCACTACTATTGCTTGGCCAACCCCACTTTCTTGGTACACACTTCGAAGAATATGCAAATTTTTGTTTTAATTCAAGGGTTTTGTTGAAGAGTCGTCTCCAAGTCCCGTTCTACAAAGTTATTCGTTCATTCCGCCGTTGCAGAAGCAGGTTCCACTCCAACCAGCACCATCTGCTCAGCAATACTACTACATCAGCTCTTCTCCTTACCGATATGTTAGTTCGTTTTCTTATTCGTATCTTCTTGTTCCATGTTTTCTAGACTTGATGGATACCAATGCGAGAGGCATTTATATTGTTAAGTGTCTTTGAAAAGCATTTGGTTTTAAATATTTTTCGAAAGTTTCCTATCAAGTAACCCAAAAATAACTGATTTATAGATGTGCTGTTTTAGACTCCCAGCTTGAATAACGTTTTCGAGCAGATGCAGTGTTTCAGCGGGGACATGAAGGTGAAGCGGTTCACAGTCGAATTTCTAATAAAAACAAGTGACATTCGCAATGCATTATCATAGATTCAAGTCGATAAGTTTATTTAAACTACAATCGTGCGTCGAAAATTTAAGGTTGAGACTCCATCAGGGTCGAAGGCCGTGAAAGACGTAGTGGTCGGCGACATGGTTCTAACCATCGACGAATCCATGGTTTGCTTTTTTGATGGACACTTGCTGACTCGCAAATACACAATGATAAAGTCTTTTTTAGGCGACGTTTTCACCTGTGATCATGTTTCTTCATAAACTTGAACACGAAGAGGCTGTGTTTTTGCATATTCATACGGTAAGCGCATCCAGATCAATAACACTGAACCAACGAAACTAGATAATGTGAATGAAGGAGTCGCGGGATTTTGTACACCTAAATGAGTTTCTCTTCTGCAAATAACTACCCAAAAAGATGAGTATACATTAATTAGGGTTTCCTTGTGAACTTGCAAGTGGTTTCTTATGCTACAGGACTACGGAGAGTCGCTCAAACTGACAGCAAATCACTTGATGTATGTGGCGAATTGTGATCGAGGCACACCTCTTCGCTTGATTGCAGCCAAAAATGCTCAAGTAGACCAGTGTGTATTCGTCACCGAGAACAGGTCGAAACTCATTCAGAGACGAATAAGTTCAATAGCAAAGGTAATTTTTCTTCCTTTATCTCCTTCTGGTTCAATCTTGATTTACGCTATAGTTCTATAGATTCGTAAATTTTATAGTCTATGTTGGAACAATGAAGCTACATTAGATTTACTGTAGGGAATCGTCTTCTAACATGAGTCATTCACAACTCTCGTCGAAATTAAACCCACTAAGGTCGTATGTTTTTGCATCTTTGTTACTGAGATGATTACAGCAACCGACTTTATTATCCTGCAAAACCCACTTTTCTGTTCTTTTAAAAGTAACTCCCACTACCGACTTTCTATTAACCTCGTCATCGATCAAGTAATTCTTCGTATTTTTGATGAGCAAACGCGAGGTGTTATTATTCTTTATTCACGACGTTTCGGCGGATTTCGCCTTCCTCAGAGCCTGGAAAGGTCAAGTTGACAGCAATCTACTGGGCCAGACGCCTCCATAACCAAACAAAGAAACTCTAAACCAAGATTTCAATCACATTGAACACAGCTTTGCACACTCACCGCTTTCTATGAGGTTTCCACTAAGCATGTCACGTAGAGACCAACCGCACAGAAATCACATGGAAGCATAATGTGCCCCTACCATCAGAATAGCAGTCTTATATACTGCCCTATATCACGCGTGATATTGAGACATTCTTCCCTGCGGTTCATTTTTGGATTTCTGGAATTAATCCATAATGCCTCGAGAGTTTTGCGCGCTTGTGTTCTTGATTCGTATGCGAGGATCGTGACACATACTTCAAAGTCCTCCCCGTTATGTCTCTGGGTCGTATGCGTGCCTAGCGGGGTATTTGGTTTATGTTTCCCGGCTAGGTGTTCTTTGATGCGGACACAGAGGGGTCTGCCCGTTTCGCCAATGTATTCGCCACCGCACGTCTTACAGGAGATCAGATAAACTATACCCGAGCTCATGCAATCACCGTCTCTACCAGTGGGGCAAATTATGCAATTTTGAGTTGCACATAGACGGTTATATAGGCGGTCACGAACTAGCTGACGCATAAGATTACTCAGTGGTATTTCAACTACGTTTACCGAATTCTCTAAACCCGCTCTTCTTAAGCAGCGTTTTATAGCTGTACTTATATCATTTGAGATGAAGGGTAGGATAAACGAAACCCTTCTATCGCTAGAGTTGTTGTTTGGAGGCCTAGGATTTCCCCTACACCTATCCTGAGCTACAGTTTCGTAGCCATTAGAAATGGATATTTGCCGTGCCAAGTTCCGGAACTCCTCTCTCTGCTCTCTTCCCGTGCACACGTTGGTTGCTGTTCGAAACATGTTTCTTGTAAGCGCCCTTTTCGTGTGAGAGGGGTGAGAGGAGAGGTAATGAACCAAGATGCTTTTACTACTTGGCTTTCGGTACCACTTTGTAATGTAGCCATTTTCTGATAGGTGAATTTGTACGTTCAAAAATGGAAGCCATTTTTCTTTCGGCTTTTCTCGGGTGAATTTGATATACTCTGACTGTGCGTTTAACAATTCGAAACATTTGTCCACTTCCTCTTGTGTTGAGCAAAAGACAAAGCAGTCGTCTACATATCTACAGTAGAGTAGCGGCCCGAGATCAGTCACCAGTGCTTCCACCTTAGACACAAATGCAATGGCAAGACTTGGAGCCAGTCGTTGTCCCATTGCCTACCCTCTCATTTGAGCGTAGTACTTTCCGGACCATCTGAAGATTGAGCAGCTCAAGCATTCTTTTAAGTGTGCCATCAAGTGCTCTATCTTAAAGCCATACATGTTTACGCAGCTAATGATAGGTCTAACCTTAAATAGTGATGGATCGGTAGAGGCAAGATCATCACTGGATACTAACTTATATAAGTAAGTACAAGACGGGGCATGTTGCTAAGTCAACTTTAAGTTGAGTGATGACTGATGGTTTTCGTTATTAGAATTGGGACTGAGTTTCTCACCATCTGAACCCATTTCTAAGATAACCTGGCGTAGGGTCGCATGTGGTTTACATGAACTTCAAGATAGACTCCGCAAAAAAGCTAGAGATGAAGCGCTAAATAGGTGCGAACAATACCAAGTGGGGCCCTACCGATAGCACCATTTCCTCCGACGTTCGTTAGACAACAAGAGCCCAATAATGAAGTTGATGTTAATTTTCGGATGATTGCGAATGAAGTTCTCAAAGTCCTTAATCACTGTCGCGCGAAAAGATACAGCTCAAACCTCACTCCAGTGCGAAAACGTGGTATGCGAGAGGTTCGAAAGCTGTTAAGGTTGAAAACCATAAGACTATCCGTTAGTGATAAGGGTGGAGAATTTGTCGTAATTCCTCATCGGTTAGATGTGGAGATAACGAAAAAGCATCTTGAAAATGGCTACATTACAAAGTGGTACCGAAAGCCAAGTAGTAAAAACATCTTGGTTCATTATCTCTCCTCTCACCTCTCTCACATGAAAAGGGCGCTTATAAGAAACATGTTTCGAACAGCAACCAACGTGTGCACGGGAAGAGAGCAGAGAGAGGAGTTCCGGAACTTGGCACGGCAAATAGCCATTTCTAATGGCTACAAAACTGCAGCTCAGGATAGGTGTAGAGGAAATCCTAGGCCTCCAAACGACAACTCTAGCGATAGAAGGGTTTCGTTTATCCTACCCTTCATCTCAAATGATATAAGTACAGCTATAAGATGTTGCTTAAGAAGGGCGAGTCTAGAGAATTCGGTAAACGTGGTTGAAATGCCACCGAGTAATCTTAAGCGCCAGCTAGTTCGTGACCGCCTATATAACCGTCTATGTGCAACTCAAAATTGCATAATTTGCCCCACTGGTAGAGACGGTGATTTCATGAGCTCGGGTATAGTTTATCTGATCTCCTGTAAGACGTGCGGTGGCGAATACATTGGCGAAACGGGCAGACCCCTCTGTGTCCGCATCAAAGAACACCTAGCCGGAAAACATAAACCAAATACCCTGCTAGGCACGCATACGACCCAGAGACATAACGGGGAGGGCTTTGAAGTATGTGTCACGATCCTCGCATACGAATCAAGAACACAGGCGCGCAAAACTCTCGAGGCATTATGGATTAATTCCAGAAAACCAAAAATGAACCGCAGGGAAGAATGTCTCATTATCACGCGTGATATAGGGCAGTATATAAGACTGCTATTCTGATGGTAGGGGCACATTATGCTTCCATGTGGTTTCTGTGCGGTTGGTCTCTACGTGACATGCTTAGTAGAAACCTCATAGAAAGCGGTGAGTGTGCAAAGCTGTGTTCAATGTGATTGAAATCTTGGTTTAGGGTTTCTTTGTTTGGTTATGGAGGCGTCTGGCCGAGTAGGTTGCTATCAACTTGACCTTTCCAGGTTCTGAGGAAGGCGAAATCCGCCGAAACGTCAGCTTATTCGTGAATAAAGAATAATAACACCTCGCGTTTGCTTAACAAAAATACGAAGAATTACTGTAAAAGTATCTTTCAAAAAATACTATAAGTTCTGAAGTGGTTATGGCATTGCGTTCGTGGTCTTCTGTTTCCAGTGACGTGTTGGACGATGCCCTAGTGTGGTTTTTCATGAAATCCCTTGGTAAATAGCCTAGAGTGCTCTCAATTCTTTGTTACAGACACTACCCAGCCTTATTCTGCCGAAGAGAGGTTACTATGTTTCCACGTCGACAGCTATTCGTGTGACTATGGCGAATGTTCCCATTAATCTCACGACTTCTTGACGAAGATTTAGCAATCCGACTCTTGTTCCGCATACACAGAACCAACCTGTAGCGCATTCTCAATTTTACGATTAATTCTAACAGTGATGGAATATACTAATACCGTCGTTTGGTTTCTCGGCTCAATTGAGCTTTTCTTGCTTTCTAAGATGGCTCTCTAGATGTTCAAGGATCCGTTTTGTGAAACATTTCCAAATACTATTCTTTCTTTAGGTCAGGTAGTGTAAATAATCGGAGGAGTAAACGGCACGGTAAATTCACAAAAGAGTAAAATCTTTCAAAATGCACTGAAGAATAACGTAAGCACGTAGCAATCTAATATTCTGAATATTTGTTGCTTGTCGTCATTGATCGGCTAATATTTATTATTCTCATGAATTATACTGTTATTTACTAGGCATGTAAAAAAACGGCCTAATTTTAGTTACCCGGGGCGGTGGTTCTAGATAAGAAATGAGCCACTTCGATTTTTTTTCATTTTTTATTGCTTTTAAAAACTTTGCTAGGACGCGTGTAGCGCAGTGGGCATAGGTGTCTTGCAATACTCACGAATTAGATCGCGCGCCCAGGCTTACCAAACCTTTAATGCCTCTGAGTTTGGCAAACTGGTAGCAGACCTGTCTCGGAGGATAGCAGCACTGACTCAACACATCGACAATCCACTGCTAATCGTTGTATAGGCCAGATATGCGTTCAGTCAACTCTAACGATGCTTAATAAAGTAGAATGTATGGCGCATCCCTCAGGACTTGATCAGTACAAGGGCTTTATCCTTAATCCTTTTTCAAAATTTCTGATATAGCAATAAGCTTTACAGGTAACGGAGAGAGGAATATACGCGCCCTTGACAGTCACAGGTGACATCGTTGTGAACCGCTACCTTGTCTCCTGTCACTCCAATATCGCTCTGAAGACACTCCAGCAGACGTTCTTCGGCTTCTATCGAAGCGTTTCCATGGTGTTTCGCTACTTTCCTCACAACCATACACGGAAAGACACACATCTACCACTTGGTGTACATTACATGACAACGATTCTCGATCTCTTTCTCCCAAATTCATTCTTATAACAGTGAAATGATCACGGATGATAAGTTATTCACCTTTATGCTTATTATTGTTTCATTGTCTTAGTGTTCGTAAGTAATACATAACGAATGTCACAAGAATTTCAAGAATCCTACCATTAATACCAATTACCGTAAATGGTGGCTTACAAAAGTTTTTTAAAGTTGAGTAAAGCATTAAATCATAGCGAAGGACTATATGTTACAAAATTTCTTTTCTGATTTGTAGATAGAAAAGAGCACACAATATGGTTTACAGCTCACAAGAATGGCTACATTCTGAACGGCATCCAGTGTTATTCACTTCCACTGTAAAATATTGACGCTGTCTTTAAATTGTTGAGGTTACACTAGGTTGATAAACAGATTTGCTTCCGCTAACGTTTCGACGTCTTCGTCTTCATCAGAACCGATGATCCGTGTCGGCGGTCCACAGTCGTTCCCTATCTCGACAACATACGCCACATCGAGATAACGAATAGCTGTGGACCACCACCACGGACCATCGGCTCTGATGAAGACGAAGACATCGAAACGTTAACGGAAGCAAATCTGTTTATCAACCTCGTGTAAGCTCAACGATTTAAATACATGTTCGTTGTCTTGCTATCGAGCTTAAATGATGGTCGGTTTAAAAATTCTTTTGCTAATATTGACGTTGTATTTTTGATAATGTTGTGCGCCTTTGCGTTAGCGATACCCAGCGAAAATCTCCTCTCTCAGGATGTTCACCCAACCTGACGTATTTTGGCCATTCAGATGTTCAGTTGAATCTAAGTCGGTGCTAGAAATGAACACCGTTTAAGACTACCAGTGTTCGTTCATTTTTATTTTTTTCTGCTTTTAAAGGCTGCTTCACATTCTGCAAGGGGATATAATTACCTGACACAGTTACTACTTTGAGTTTAGTCGTGGTTCGAAAAATATGTTATAGAAGGATAAATTGTGTTTCGAATTCTGTTTGACCAATTAATTGATTTTATCCAGTATTTGATGGGCAGTACAGGTTAATCTTCGTAATGAGTTTACAGATAACTCGACAAGCACGTCAGGCGGTGCTCTAGAGTCATTTAGATATCCCCTCTCCTCTCTAGGGGTGTACAGGATGGTACCTTGTGTATGTTGGTATGACACACCACCCAACCATATTGATATAAGCATGTAGAAATGCTCTCCAACTTAACTTGACTATATTTTGCTATTTTTCACGTATTCTTACTTTTTTCTATGATCATAATTCTTTCCCGAGACCGGAAATCAATGGACAGAGGCATTTTTTAAACGACGCAAAACCACGCACTGTGCAGATCCCAGCATTTACATCATGTGCTTCGTTTCTTCGCGTACTTCTTCCACGAAGTTCTCCGGGTTTTACATAGGGTATCAACTGTTGCTTGAAAATTTTTCCATATTTGTGACGAATGTCGTTGAGTGCTGGCCGAGTCGATTCTCTTTAGAATCGTGGGCCAACCGTGCTAGGTGTCCCCAGATCTGCGTCACAAGCGCCATCTTTGTGTTGGAGGGAGCGTGCTGGTTGTGCACACGTTTGCTAACAGTTTGTTAACGAGGCACATTATTATACTATATACGCTGCTATCTGAAGGTTATTCGTTGTTTCAAACTATTTTTTTTATCGAGAACGAAATTTTATACTGTTGAAGCATGCCAATAGATGAATAGTTAAACATCGGTCGACTCGTCATTGAAATTAACAGTGAAAAGTGTGGAAAAGCGGAGTGCGAAGTGGAACCTCCTGCGTTCTTCGCTGAATAATCTGAACGAAACAGATTGGAGGGCGAGTACAGTAGTGGTGTTTTTTCTGATGCAGTCATACGTCAGTCTGATTTTGAAGTGCCTCAGAACTACTGCATCTTCCATGACAGTCAGTTTGTTGTGGGCAGATTTATTTTGTGACCCAGCGAGCAGAATTGATGGCTTTCTATGAATTATATGCGGCCAACATTTGCAGGCCGATTGCGATCGAGACGAACAGATACCGAGAAGGGAAGAATTTTTTGTGGAGAAGGGTGTTGACAACAGAGAATATTCATCGGGATTAGCCTACAGATCGGAAGTAATAGATTGGACAGCTGAGAGGTTAATACAGTTCCAGTCCTCTTTTGCATTCCAACTTAGTTGATTACCCGAGGACACATAGATTTGAAAACCTGACAAGTTTCATTTTGCCAACAACACATTATTGATTTGATCTAAGCGTTTTCACCCTAATAATTACCGCTTTAGTTTATCGATCGATATGCTTGTTTTGTACTATACTTTTAGCACGAATTGTGAAGCGTGAAATATCCGGTCTTTGATATTCAAAAACATGTCTGGTCATCCTGAAGCATTAACTGCACCCGTGCGAAGGATGGATTTTTATTAGAAAATGGTGGTAAGTTCACGATGTGTTAGCATTCGTTTTTTCAAATAATACACTGTCTTGCAAAAACATCTCAACTTTCTCTGTAGGGGAGTCGCTCATTGAATAGGAAGGTCACATTATCGGATAAGCTTTGCAAAGTTTCACTATGTGTTGTACAAACAACAAGAAAAACTTAGATTTCTTTATCTTTTGCGAAGTGGAAGCCCATCTATGCAATTGTGGTGGTTCTTGAAGTAGAATATTAGCACTCTTAAGGAACTGAACTCTTGCGTATAGAACCCGTTAAAGCGTGCTGAGTTCATCTTGCTAAGCCAGATAGATACATTTAACAAGTTTTTGCATCATATTTATTGCACTTAAATTGCAGTAAACTGATGGACGCCATCGAAAACTTTTCGCGACAATTTTGTCGGAGAAAATAACAATTTTAAGATTGGAAAACTTGGTTAAGCAAAATAAACCGTGGATTTAGTGGTCTCACACGTTTTCTGACGGTATTACAAGCTCCAATCACTCTGGCACCTTCACCTCCACTTGCATCTATGTTGCCTTCTGCCACATACTCGCCAGGCGAAGATTGCTTCCGCTCAGCATTTTCGAGAAAAGGACTATTGATGGGAAGTTTTGCAAGATCTAGTTCTGTTCAGTCACCAAATTATAAAGAGAAATTGTGAAGAAATCCTCTAGTGGGACAGGTCCGCCTAAGTTACCATGACGTAAAATCTGCATACCTCTTACGCGACGTATGTTGCGTTGTCGTATATGCATCCACATGAGGACATGTTATAATTGCCGAAACAAAGAAATTTAGTCTTGATACAAGAATAGATGATGACTGGTCTATACAAATTATGCAGCTTCTCTCAAAATTTTGACCTTGAGCAAATGAAAGCTTTAGCGGGAGGTCTATACTTTGTTTTTTAAAAAGGTGAATTGCAGGCAAAGTCCGTTAATATGTGATGAATAAGTACGATACTTCGGGAGAGCGCTTCGCACGGAAATTCAAAGGAGTCATGGACGCGCTTCAGCAACGTTACCTTCGTGAACTGACGCTTGGCGTCGGTTCCACAAAAGAAGATTAGAATCGTGTCATTGAAATGTACACGTGGCGGATGCGCTACAATGTTGACGGTGAACCACAAGCAGAACCGCGATAGTATGTTTAATAGAACTGTTCCTCTTTGATGAAAAAGGCACAATAAATCACTGTTTTAAACCCGATGGAACTATAATGGCACCGAATCGATTCGGAGGTGTACAGTACTTGAAAAACAAAGAGCGAAGCTCTTACTATTGATAAAGATATTATGTCGAGACAAGCTGACTCCGTTGCCAACTGGGGCGTCGGCTGCTCTTTGCGTGACATGCACTGACAGTTGGTTCATTTTTTATTGAAACAACGCCCGCTAAACTACTGTCCACTATCTGATTTTTCACCATGCACAAAATCAGAAATTGATTGTATAAACACAAGTAAGCAAAATTATAGTATGTTTGTGCTTCGCTAACCGTGAAAGTACAAGAGCTGCAGTGGGCTACCAAACCTTACACTTTTACCCTTTTCCCGATGATCCTGTTCTATCATCAGATACTAAATTTGTGGAACTTGCAACAATACAGACCAAATACCACGGATAGGCAA